TTTGAAAACAATTTGTAAACAATGGATGGTTTTGAAATGTTTGAAAAGTTTAAATTTTACACGAATTTTATGGATTTTACACTAACCCTAAGAGATTCTCCGGCCGCCACCATGCCAAATCTCCAGTTTCCAGCCGCAGCCGCCTCCTCCTTGTCGTCGTCGTCGTGAGCCTCCAAATCGGGTAATGCATCGCCGCCGCTGTTTCAGCAACACACAAGCTAGCTGGCGTCGAGTGTGGGTTGTCAGAAGATTGAAGCTCGTGAGTGTCCTCCTTCTCTCCGGTTGAGGCGCTCTCATCCTCTTCGTTTCTTCTACTCTTGCGTGATCACGCCCCGTCGCCGCCGCTCCGAGTGGTGGTCCATTTTGTTGACTGTTCTCCTACCATTGTACGCCACCGTAAGTGGGTGGCTATGTGGTTCTATGTTTCAGGTGTATGTGTTGCTGCTACAAGTCGAAGGCATGCGTATGTATTTTTCTGTTGGCCGGAAAACGTGGAAAGACCACCATGACAGCCAACCATGGTGGCTGCCACCTTGCTGCCGCCATCAGCCACCATGGATGGTGGTTGTGTGTTTACTATGGTGCAAATATGAGTGTGTTTTGTGGTGTGTTGTTGTATGAACAACCTTTGTCTGAGAAATCAAGGAAAAATCCCCCACCACCACTGGAACCACCGGAACCACCGTCGACCACCACCGCCCGAGGTGGCAGTGGGTGGTGCCCAGCCTAGTGAAACCATAATCATCCTAAAACTTAACCATTGGACTATTTGGCATGTGTTTGGATTAGAAACCCTAATTAGGGTTTAGAAAACCCTAATCTTGGAGACTTTTGTTTAGGACTTGCCGGGACCCGCATTTTGGATCGTTGGATTGGAATTATGAATTACGCGCGACCATATTGTATGATTGACCTAGTAGAATGATGGACTTAATGGATTAAGTCCTTAGTGGGTTAAGTGTTTTTACTGAACCCTAATCGTCATTTTATGTGAAAACCCTAATCATGTTTGGGCTTCGAGTTGGGGTTTCTTTTGGTCTTAGGTGTTTGGATTCTTGTTGGGCCATCTGAGAACAACTGTATGGACTAGGATATTTGGATGGGCTTTAGGGTAAGGCCCATGTAAGGGGTTTAGGCCCAATTTGGAAAATTAGGCCATATTTGGGCCTTGGAGGATTATTTGGCTTTTGGGCCTCCAGAGTTTGAGTATGGGCCTTGGTCTTGGACCAAGCTAGGTTAGGGGTAAACTAGTCTTTTACCCCGAGTATGGGCTTATTGTTATGCTTTGGCACCCAATTATTAATTGGGTGTTGTTTTGATGATTGACAGTTCGGGGATCTGTCAGCCAGCAGTCGGGGTTCGTCTGTGTGATTCGGAAGTGTGAGGTGAGTCTTCTCACTATATCCATGGGTCAAAGGCACCAATGTTGGCCCATTACTTGTTATGTGGAATGCTAGTTGTCTTTGTAACACTTACATGATAGACAATGGGGGAGCTCATGGCATTTGGATATAAGACCATGGAGGGAGCCCATGGCATTTGGATATAAGACCATGGGGGTGCCCATGGCATTTGGATATAAGACCATGAGGGAGCCCATGACATTCCCGGTAAAGACCATGGGGGGAGCCCATGGCAACTATATGTATGTGGATGATATTCTATAGATGATATTCTATGGATGATATTTTGTGGATGGTATTTTGTGGATGATATTATGTGGTTGTATGCTATGTCGTATTTTGGGGAAACTCACTAAGCTTTGTGATTACGGTTCTCAGTTATGTTTCAGGTACTTTGGTTTTCAAACGGAAGGGCTCGGGATGATTGCAGAGCACACACCACCTGTTTCAGCCTCTTGTGAACTACTATGATTTGTCAATATTTTGTTAAAACTTAATTACTCTGATTTTGTGGGAAAGACATGTATTAAGGATTTATTAATTTAAAAACAAAATTTTTTATAACTTGATTTTTGGGGTGGTTACAGTTGAGTGGGTCAAAGTCGAAGCCCAATTTGATGTCCCAGCAGTTAATGATCCCAAGGAGGCCACTTGCTTCCATTGTGGCGAAAAAGGGCATTGGAGAAGAAGTTGCCCAAAATACTTGCATGACTTGAAAGATGGAAAGGTCAAGACGTCCTCATCAGGTATTTACACTATCCAAATCAATAAGACACAACTTTCTCATTATTGGGTCCTTGACACAGGATGTGGTTTCCATATTTGTTCTGATTTGCAGGGTCTAAGCGGAAGTGAGGAAGTGGAGCATGAGAAGCTCAATCCGATCATGGGGAATAGGCGATCTTCACCTGTTACCAAGATTAGGACTTATGGGCTAATGTTTAGTAGTGATGTTAGGGTTGATTTATTGAATTGTTGTTATTCGTCAGAAATGACGCGAAACATTATTTCTTTTCATAAATTGTTCAGACAAGGTTTTAAATATTCATTTGATGATGATGATGGTTCAATTTATACTTTTAAAAATGTGTTGGAATATTTTGATCTTAGGACATATGATGAATGTGAATCTTGTCTATTGGGCAAGATGACAAAATCACCTCTCACTGGAACATGTGAAAGAGGTGAAGGATTGTTGGACCTCATCCATACGGATGTGTGCGAGCCATTCAGATCCACCACAAAGAATGTTAATCGAATACTACGTGACATTTACGGATGATTATAGCAGATATGGTTATATCTACTTGATGAAACATAAATCAGAAACCTTTGAAAAGTTCAAAGAGTTTAAGCACGAGGTCAAGAATAAATTGGGCAGGAAGATAAAAATGTTCAGATCTGACAGAGGTGGTGAGTATCTTAGGTGTTGTTTGTTTTTTTTTAAAACCGCTTCTGAGCTCTTTTCTCTGCGCCGCGCAGAACACATGCAACAGTTGGGCCTTTGCAGTTGTTTGTTTTTTTAAAGGCTTCTAAGTGAAAAACCTCTGTCAGTGTGATTCTTGGTGAGCTAGTGTACCAACCACTTTAAAACACTTCTCAACCCTAATCAGAAAAAAAAGGACGGACAAACAAAAAAAAAAAGACAGCGCCGCTCCATCCTCTTCTTCTCTCCATTGTTCTTCCTTCTCCACAAACTAATCGTCGGCGTCATCCCTTCGTCGGTGCACCTTGCAGGTATTTTTTCTCGTCAGCGCACCGCTGCAGCCTTCTTATCGTCGACACGTATGTTGTTTTGCTGATATGCTCTTTTGGTCATCGATTCTCATATGCTGATTTTGTGAAATCGATTCTGATATGTTGATTTTGTGAAATCGATTGTTGAAATCATTTTTCTGGTTTGCTGAAATGTTGAAATCGTTTTTCTGATTTGAAAAACCCGGCTACTCGATGTTGTCTCCTTCCCTTTATGATACAACTGCCATGGATGATTCAAAAACACAGAAAAACAAATAAAGAAAGACAAACTTTTGGATTGTTAATTGTTATAATATATTGAAATGGTCATACTTGATAACTTTTGACTTTGATGACCCAATATTTTTTGACTTTAGACACCATACGTTTACATTTGATTTTAATTACTTCACTCGATTTTAATTACTTTAATGAACACTTGAATGCTTGAACAGATAACATTCTAGAATCGACTTTAAAATTTATATAAACTTGATATTTGTAATTTGAAGGTGAGTGATTCACAGTTATGCTGCATATGCTTTGACCAATTATGCGTCATTGAAGTTCAAGATTGTGGTCATCAAATTTGTGACCTCTTACGGGATTGAATTACGGAGCGAGACGTGTGACATAGTTAGGGATGAAATTACGGGGCGGTTGATGCAAAATATGAAATAAATTATTTTAAATGAAATTGTTATTGTAAGACTAATTTGATTGTATGCATTTTATTTCATTACTGTAAGGCTGGAATTATTAAAATTTCGTTGTTAAAAAACTGTTTTGAGTGTATAAAATCAATTTATTTAATTTTCAGTTTATTACAGCATGTAGACGTAAAAAAACAAACAGGCTTTTTATTACATTCTACAGACGTTTGGTCCACCTCTTCTGCTACAGAGGATTGCAGATGTGGTCTGTAAACTTTATAAATTTACGTTTCGAAAAAACAAACAGCACCAAAGTCTGATATTCTTTTAGCACAAATCTATGTAGATGATATACTATTTGTTTACCATAGCAACTTACTTTTAGTTTTACAACATTGTAATAGAAAATGGAACTACATTGATATCTTAACCAATTTTGTGACCAAACTGATTTGTTTATTAACCAATAAGGCTATTTTAACCAATTTTAAGACGTCCGCTTTGTCCAATTTTAAGCATAGATTGTGTTGTGTTTTATGGTGTTTTGAGGGTGTGTTGTGTAACTCAAATATTTTACACAAAATAGCAGCATACTTATAATTTTTACCCGTTAGTAAAGTACATATACTTTTTACCGATAATAATATGTAACGTATAAAATACATTGTTATTTTGGTAGAAATATATAAGTACATTGCACTTAAAAACTTATAAGTACATTCTTACTACAAGTCAAAAATTAAGTAAGGTAAGGTTTATAATAATTTAATAAATGATTAAATGCAAGAAATAGAAACATAGTTTCATTTATTTGTTTATTATAATCAACACCATACCAGGCATTAGATCAAACAGGTTTTTGATCAGCAAGTGATGATTTTAAAAAGACTGGAGCTTGATTTATTTATGTGGGTCCTCAAAAGAATGATCACCAATAATCTGCACAGGAGCAACTTCCATCTTGGAAGTGATGGAAACGTTTGGAGTCTCTCACAGTTATCAATCTTTTTTTTGGCTTTGGAGATTAATTTCATAAAAGAGTGGCAATCATCACACATCTTCCCTGATTTCATTATGATACAGATTGGTGCCATGTCATGTGTATTGAATAGCGCATCAGCTGCTGCAAGCTTCTCGCTGTGATAACCATCACATGAGTCATCCTCAAACTCATTATGTGGATTAATACTAGCAAACAAAGACTTGATCATTTTATGATGCTCATCAAACTTTGGATCTCCCTTGACAACCGAGTCAACAATATATGTGTGAGATCCTTGATTGCAACCCAGCTAACCCCGGGTTCTACTAATCTATCATTCTTTAATTCTATGGCTTCACGGATGTCTGTGGCTCCAAACCACTCACTAATATCCGACACCTCATCAGGGATCGCATATACAGCATCGTGATACAGCATTGGTTTTCTACGAACTTTACAAGCTCGGAGAAAGCTACTCCAAGTCTTGCCATCCCATTTGAGTGGTGTTGATACCACGAAACGAAAAGCTGTTTCTAGTCTTCCAACCTTGATTAGAATATTAAACATACACCTATAGTGCTCTAAACCAGGTTCCAGACCCTTCTGGTTCATTAACTCATAAAAATAGTAGAACCCTTCTTTCACAAGCCTCAATTCTCCACAAGCCTTGAGAACACCAACAAAAGCCAACGACTCCTTACCAAAACCATGAAGGCAATACCCACATATCATTATATTCCAGGTCCCAATATCACGATGATAAGTCGTCGTCATACCTAAAAACATGTTTTGCAGCAGCTTTAATGTCGCCAGTCCTTAAGTACATGATCATCAAGCCATCCTCGACATTCTTATGACCCTTGAATCCATTCTTCTCTACAAGTGCATGAAACGTATTTCCTAATTTCACAGAGAATAATACAGCACTAGCATTCAGCATTACAGAAAAGGTAGTTTCGTCTGGAACAACATCCCCATGTTGCATGTTATAAAACAATATTAACGCATCTTCAGGCCACTCACACTCTGTGAGAATAGAGAGAATTAGTGTCCATGTAACCACGTTTCTAGCTTTAAACCTGCGAAACACCCCGTAGAGCTTTTGCAAAATTTCCAACTTTCCCATACATCTTCATCATTGCATTGCATACAGATACATCAAACTCAACTTCACTCTTGAGCAGCTTGTTGTGAACTTCACGCCCCAAGTTATAATCTAAGAGGCGACCACAAAGACCAAAAAGACCAATATAGGTAGCTTTGTTACACGATATCTTCACCCAACATTCTCCTTAAAATATTAAAAGCCTCATCCAAGTAAGCTTTCTCACCAGGTTAAACCGTGATCCACTTATAAGCAAGATTATCCACTTGAGGGACAGAAACTAAAACCTCCACAGCCCCTACCATGTCCGACATCATGCAATACAAGTGTAAAAGCGCACTTTTCACATATTGATGGAACACTAATCCAGATTTTAACATGTACCCGTGACACTGTCTGCCTAATGAAACGTACCCAACCTTTATACAAGACCTAAGCACCAATGAAGATATATGATTGTCAGGCAGGCAAGACTCATGCTGCTCTGAAACCATTAATTTAAACAATCTAACAACTTCAAAAGCAGACCCATTTTGAAAATGGCCCGAAATTAGAGCACTCCACGAATCTATGTTACGTTTATTTGTTTGATCAAAAACACGGTGTGCAGATCCCACTGCTGAGTAAAGAGCAATCAAAACATTAGTCTTGGGTATATTACCTCCAGACCAGTACTGACTACACACAATCGAACGACCGTGAATTACTTTGCTCAACTCAAGGGTTTTAGTCCCGCCTAAACATCGTAGAAGCTTTAAATTGTTTTGTAGAAGAAGCGTAGGGATGGACATCACAATAATTCCACTTCCGTTCACTGATCTTGTGATCAAATTTGACAAAGATTAGATATTTTCACTGATCTTGTTGGCAAGCACACGAGTACGAGCAGTCATTGCTACGAAAGCGTTGGAGAAGAGTATCAGAGAGAGAATGAAGGTGAAGAAGAATTTTAAAAACGACAAGGTGAGGCGTAAAGTGAAGTTGGAACCCTAATAAAGCTTTTAAGTGTTTGACTTAACAAGGGTTTGGACCCTTGCAAGATGCAAGATACTACGGAAATCCAATAGTTGAAAAACCCAACAATAAGTTTTTAGTGGGAAAATTTTGTAGACTTTCAAGATAGTTTAAACCTTCAAGCAATTTACATATTTTTATTTTTCACTTAGCAAATGAATTATGCCTAAAATGGACCAGAAAAATATAAAATAAGATTTGGAACCAAACAATTATGTTGGAAGAGGTAGACAAAAATAAAGTTTTAAAGTGTATCTTGAACGTATTAATTTTACGAGTTAATATCACAATAATACCATAAAAGTTTATAACATTTTAATAAAAATGTAATACTAACAATAATAAAAACTATAAAAACAATCATGCAAGGGACCAAAAACGTAACTTAAAAATCAAAGGGCTTCTAGCCCAGCGGTATCAGGTGGTGCCCTCCCTCCTTGAGGTCGAGAGTTCAAGTCACGTCGTGGACATAGATGGATTTAGGTTTTAGTTTAAGAATAAATTATATATATTATATTTGTCGGTTAAAAAAACCTAACTTAAAAATACAGTAAGGGATCAAAAATCATAACTTAAAAACATCCATAATTTAACTTTAGAATTATAAAGCATAAAAATTATTTAATCAAAATTTATTTACGGAGAGAAAATGTAAATATGAGATCTTTTTATTAGCAAAATCAAACTTTCTATTTTCAAGAAAATGTTTATTTCACAACTTATATTATATTCTATAAACCTTGTATCTTGATCTGGACTTGGTGTGTTTTGGATTGAGAATAGTAGAAGTTAATGAATAGTAATTTTGTGAGTGACACCTTACATGGAAATTAATATATATAATTTGATCTAGGGACGGAAATTTAGCCCACACAAATACAAAAAAAAGAAAAATCACCGTTAACAAAATATCATAAATGTATAAAATCTAAAAACTAGTGGGTTTTAACCCACACGCCCCGATTTGGGATGAAAATGGGTCTAAACTCGGTCCGGATGGATCCAGTCCCTGAAAACGGACCATAATATATGAACCGGTTTTGATTCGGTTTCGAGTAATATGCGTCTAGAATCGAAAAATCCGGAAACATTAAAATGAGTAAGGTGGAACTAGGTAAAGTGGGTTTTGGAACCCGAAAAAATAAGAATTTTTTGGTAATTACTTGGTGGGTTGAACCTTGAAAATTTCCATATTGATGTTCCGACTCTAGGGGAGTGTAAGTCATTGAATATGAAACCAAATTTGACAAAATTATAGTCTAAAATCATGTACAAACTCTAAACTACACTCTGAAAGAACCTAATGTAAATTTGACTTAAAACTAATGTGATATCCATGTTTTAAAATTTTCACATAATACAAAGTACAAAAATAAATAGTTGAAAAGTTTGGAATTTTTCAACTTTGATATTCCGAATTTTGGAGACTGTAAGTCATTGAATATTAAACCAAAAATTATAAATATATAGTCTAAACTCATGTACAAGCTCTAAACTATAATTTAAACCTCATGTCAATCCAACTTCAAATAAATTAAATATTCATGTTTTAAAATTTACATAGAATACAAAAAACCCTGAAAAACTAAAAACTCTCAGCTTTGATATCTGACTTTTAGGGGACTGTAAGTTAATGAATATTGTAATGTCCTGTTCCTGGTACGCATTTAATCTATTAAAGTATTCATTTTGTAAGAGCTACTAGACAAATTGGTAGCCCTAATTCATCGAGTAGATGCCAGCTTGGTCGCGGGGTTTAAATGGTCTACTCGACGAGTCGAAGCCTGGATCAACGAGTAGGTCCATTAGGAGGAAACCCTAATCTTTAGGGTTTGCACCTTATTTAAACATCATATCTGGCCTCCACCCCAGCCTCTATCACCTCCAAACCCTAATCTCGAAACCCTAATACACCTTGAGTGATTTTGAGCTATTCCTTGCCATTTTGAGTGTTTTGTGCCTCTTGAAGCTCGTAGAAGAAGAATAAGATAGAAGGCTCAAAGGGGAAGAAGTAGATCCAGGAACTACACTCCATTTACTACATTTTATGCCGGAGAGTCACCGGAGTAGCAGACAGGGATTCCTCACTCGAGTTTTCAGCAGTCAGTCTTGCGATATGAGTTTCCTTCAGTAGGAACGGGTCTATGGCACCAAGGCCGGCCCGTATATGTGATATGTTAGTAGTTGAGTGTGGGCAGGGCCCTAATCTCGTAGCAGCCTAGAGTGGGCGGGGCCCGATTCTCATAGTATTATTTGAGTATAGATATGTGATTGTTTGGTAGATATACTTGTTGTCTGTGTGATACTTGTATGCATGTTAGTAGTGGAGTGTGGGCGGGGCCCGAATCTCCTAGACAGTGGAGTGTGGACGGGGCCCGAATCTCCATGAGAGTGGGCGGGGCCCATATCTCCTAGTTGCATGATATTTGTATGGTATGTGGTAGTTTGGGGAACTCACTAAGCTTCGTGCTTATAGTTTTCAGTTTTGGTTTCAGGTACTTCCACTAGCAAGGGGAAGCGCTTGGGATGATCGCATGGAACACACCACAGCTTCAGCCTGGGGTGTTTAGACTCTGATATTTTCATATGATTTTGATACAGTATTTTGACACGATGTTTTGAGATACACGATTATGGTTTTCTTTATGATGATGGATGACGTATGGTTTTATTATAAATGATTTTAAAAAGAAATTTTTTGCCTATATTTTTGGGATGTTTCAAGTTGGTATCAGAGCCTTGGTTTGAGGGATTCAGACATGCTCTCGGGTGTGTCTGAACTCAAACTAAGGAATTGGTATGAAAATTTATATAAGAAAATCATTTTTTTGAAAAGAATTTTGAAAAGAGAAAAGAACTTTGAAAAAAGGAAAAAAGGGTGTGGTGCATGCAATCAGCCGAGCTCAAGTAAGTACTCCCAAATTACCCATACAAGTTTATGTTTATATTATGATTATCAGCTTTATGAGAACAACATGCTAGATTAGGACTAAGGATCTAGGAAGGATGCCTTATGTGCCTATTATATGTGTATCAGCTTTATGAGAATTGCATGCTAGTTTAGGACTAAGGATCTAGGAAGGATGCCTTATGTGCATGTTATATGTATCTCAGCTTTATAAACTGCATGATAGTACAGATTAGTCAAGGATAGCTTGAAAGAGATATGCTTGATTATGTTTACTCGATGCTCGAATGCTGCTTGCTTTGTGCTTTTAGGAGTTCTAGTTATCTTTGTTGGATTAGTGTCTAAGTCCATAACTATAATTGGTATGTACTTGACCCGACTCGGTATGGTCCATTTGGGTTGCATGGCATCGGAACATTTGGATAGACCGTTTATGAGGAAAAGACATTTTGTGACATATTAATATATTATAAGTTCTAATATATTAATATGAAATCATGTTATTTAATTAGTATTGATCAAGAATTAATTTGGACTTAATTTAGTGATCAAAAAAGAGACTAATTAAATATATGGGCTTTGATTGTGTAAATCATTCATTCTTATATATGTGGGCTTATGATCCAAGATTCCTTTATGTTGGGTTTAACCCATGTGGTGATCCATGGATACTCCATGGAGGTTAAAACCCATGGAGCATAAGGAATGGGTAAAGTCATGAGTTACATGGTGTAACCCTAATAGCCACACTATATAAGAACCCCTTTAGTTCAAGAAATTGGCACTAGTGATACATATTTTGAGGGCTAGCCGATTTGAACATGTATGTCTTCTTCTCATGGTTATTCCAAGAGTTCATGATGTTGTGTGAACCATTTGAGGTGTCACACTTGGGGCACTAGGCTCTCAAGCTTCATGGAGTCAAGCAACAACAACAAGGTATGTATTCTATCTATTTTATTATCCTAGTATCAATGTTTTGGTATGCTAGTTAGGATAATACCTTGGATAATCATATTTGCATGTATAATAGAGAAAACATAGATCCAAGGTATTTAGGGTTTCATGTACACTTAGGAGTGTTAGAATGCTCAAAACC